GTCCACCTCCACCTTTCCGCGAGCCTCCGTGCCCCCGAGACCGCCTCGGGGGCCGGGGCCGAGTCGCGGCCTCCAATCCCCAGCCCGCAGTCGCCGTGGCCGTCGCCGTGCGCTGGGCGCACCTGACCGGGCGGGCGGGGCGGCGGGCGGGGCTCCGGGCCTGACGTGGCCGCTGCATGGAGCGGGCGTGATTCATCAGCCGCCGCGCGGGGTCGGAGCGGGGCGAGCGTAGCGGCAGCCTAGGCGCCTAGGGCCGGGTGCCGCCGGGCCTAGCGTGCGCTCCCCTTGTTGTCTGCGGCCGGCCCCCGGCGAAGGTCAAGATGGAAGAGATCCTAAGGAAGCTGCAGAAGGAAGCGTCCGGGAGCAAGTACAAAGCCATCAAAGAGAGCTGCACCTGGGCCCTTGGTAAGCGCGCCGAGCGGGGCGCGGGGCGTAGGGCACCTGCCGGTGGGTCCTGCTCGCCGCCGCCAGAGGGTCGCGCGGGCTGGCTGCAATGGCCCCTCTGCGTGGGGGGCTTTCGCTGAGCATCTGTGACCGAAGCATTTCGCGCAATTGCGAGAGTTGCCTCGGGAAACTGATGTGTGATACGCGAATTTGGGTTCGGGCGTTGACATCCATCCGCCTCCCCTCTGGTCTCTGTATCTTCTAACAAACCTTAACGGGGAAACGCAGTCCTCCCCTCCGGGCGGCCCCTTTCTTCAGATCCCCAGCACGGCGGACGGCGGTCACCCATCTCCGAGTCAGGACCGCAAGCCGGTGGGAATCCAGGGGCCTGATTCCGAAGCGCTTGTGGGCAACAGCGAAGTTGAACCATCAACCCCGATCTCAAAACCTTGGCGAGTGTAACCGGGAAGGAATAGCTTATTTAATTTGATTTTCCTGATAGAGGCCAGCTTGTTAAGTATTAGCTTTCATGGTTATTCTACATGAAGAATAACGTACGGGTGGGATGGTGTTACCTCTGCAATTCTGTTGTCGTCTGCCCTTCAGACAGGTGGAATTTTAGATTTGTGAGCTGTGCAAGCATTGAAAGAAGTTCCAGGTAGCAAATTTGTGTTTCCCATCAGACTCAGGTTGTAGAACTCAACCTCGGAGAAAATCGAATGACATTCCAATTAGGCAAGAACGTGGGCAATCAGAATTGTCTGGGTGGGAATGAAGAGAGATCAGGAGCATGCTTAGGTGACAGTGATGCTTAAGGAGAAAAAAAAAGGAAAGGCGAAGGAGAAACCAGGCAGCTCTCTTGGCCTCTGGCCTTGCCCAAGCCTGCATGTGATTCCTCAGTTGCCACTTAATTAAAACATAAAATTGAATCCCTTTCTCTCTCAACCAAAGAGCCATCAGTGCTTGTCATGACACTGTACTGTGGTACAGCCTGAAAAGAGATAGAGAAGGGCTATTAGCAGGTTTTCCACTAAATGGAGAATTCTGATGGTGCTTTAGGTGGTGACTCGGTTAATATTGAGGTCTGAATTCACACATGTTTGAGTGTGTGTGTACAAACAATCACAGCCACATCATTTCTTTTTTTATGTCTGCCTATCACAAAATTTCCTAGAATGTTGTCTAGGAAGTTTATCTCGTAGGCAGAATCAGAACTTGACCATTTGTTTACTGTTAGAGGAAAAAAAAAAAAATGGAACAGGTACATAAGTGAGAAGCAAGGCTCTTAAAGCCACAGTGCTATTTTTGCATTGCCATTGTCATTCAGCAGTGTGATCAGGGTAGATTCTCAAATGCCTCTAATGAAGGGTCACAGATGGCTGGGTAACATAATAAATCAGGGCTGACTGCACTCTAAACATGCTATTCCTTGTACTCCTTATTATTTTGCTGTAAGTTAAGCAGATTTAGATAACAGGGAGGAGGAGAGGAATCTAGTATTTTTAATTTTCATGTTGATGCTCAACATCTTGTTAAGTTAAAGTGCAGTGCTGCCTAGTTTAGGTCCTTGAAGTGACCGGGAAGCCCAGAGCTGAGGCAGGTAGATGATCTGAGCAGAGCCTGGAGTCCAGCCTGCCTGGAAGAGTAGATGTGATTCTTTTCGCAGTGGCTGTTCTTAGTAAGCAAGAAGAGATGGGAGCTCATGAAACAGTTAAATAACAGTGCGGGGAATTCGTTGTGCAGGTTGGAATGAGTAAACCAGGAAAAGAGATCAAAGAAGAGGGGATGAATGTGGGGTCAGGGGTGTGCTGGGGGGATTGGTGTGAGCTGGTGGGGCTTTTGAAGTAAATTGGGCGTGGAGAATGGGTAGCTGTGGGTTTCTTCTCTTCTTCACTTATGTAGCAAAGATTTATTAAGACCTCTGTGAGCAGTGGGGATAGAAAGATGAATAAAATGCTCTCTCCCTATAATTAGTTTGTTAGAAGGGTATGTTGGAGGGAGAATGAGGCAGAAGCAAAGACATGAAGGTATGGTTTCCTGTTCTCTTTCCCACTCCAGTCCATTTTCCACTGTTCCATGTTTTTTTGTTTTTTTTTTTTTTTTGCTATAAAATGCTTTTCACTCCTCAACCCCCATACTTTTTTTTTTAGAGTAAAGTGTGAATTCCTTAGAATGCTCTTTGGAATCTAGCCCCAGCCTTCCTTCCCATCGCCCCCATAGCAAGGGTTCGTCGGTCCCCAGTAAGCCACGTACTTTCTTGTACATGCCATGTGCTGCCCACTTCTCTGCCTGGGCTTGTGCTAATCCTTCTGCCACAGCTTCCCTTTCCAGAATCCCAAGGCCCAGCTCACATACGAAGCCTCCCCTGAGCTCTGCAGTCGAATCAGTTGCTCCTCTGGCCTCTGAGCCCTGCTCTCAGGACCCTCTTATAGCACCTGCTGCTGGGGATTATAGTTGGTTATGCACAAAGCTACTCTTTTAGGGGCAGGATGATTGAGAAATATACTGGATTCAGGAGACCAACAAAACTGATTCAAGCAGACTTAAGCAAAATAGAATGTATTTACTCTATGAACTAAATACCCCTTGGAAGGCTAGCTGTGGGTTGAGTTTGGTTCAGGAATTAGATACTGTTTCAGGGACCTCGCTCTGCTCTTTTGGGATGATGAACACTCTCAGCATGAGTCTCCACAGCTTTGGGTTCATGAATCAGCACACTTAGACCATCTCAGGAGAGAGGGATCGTCTCTGACTTAGACCATCATGGGAGAGACGGGTCATCTTACACTTGGGTCATTATAGGGAAGAGGGGTCACCATGACATTTAGACCATCTCAGGAAAGAGTCATCTCTTATCAAAAGTACCATTGGAGAGAGGGGTCATCCTCACACTTATTCCATCTCAGAAGAAAGAGCTCATCTCCCACTTGGACTATGACAGGAGAAAGACATTTAGACCATCACAGGAGAGAGGAGTCATCTCCCATTAAAACTGTCATAGAAGAGAGAGAGAGAGCATCTCCACATTTAGGCCTTTATAGGAGAAAGGGGTCATTTCCCACTTGGCCTATCATGGGATCATCTCAAGAGAATGGGGCTCTTCCAGTCACTCCCACCCAGCCCTTGGTGTCACAGTTCTCTCTTTGTGCTGATGGGTTGAATATGTATCCCTGAACTAGTCCTCTGGGCTAGCTGGCTACAAGGCCCAGTGAAATCCCAGAGTCAGGGAAGGATGGCTTCCTCAAAACAAAATTAGGGTTTGCTGCTTCAGAGGCAGCAGAGTGGATGCCAGTCGACCAAAGCAACAAATGTCTACAGTGTAGACGTGAGCTTCTTGAGCATAGGGACTGTTGTTTATGCTTGTCTGTGGCTTCTGCACCTATAATATGAGAGGCACATGTTCAGGACATAAATAAATCAATGTGTTAATGTCTTATTTGGGTTTTAAGTGATATTTGTCTTATTTTCTAGTTATATATGCTCATTTTAGAATATTGAAAAATATTCGAATAGTATAAAGAAAAAATTAAAATCACCCATAATGTCACCACCCAGAGAAAACACTAATCACATTTTGGAGTATTTCCCTTCTGCAAAGGGTTATACGTATATGGCAGATTGTTCCTTGTTTTTTAACTTCAGCTTTTCTTCTACTTTATTATTAATATGTCTCTGAAAATCAGTTTTCTTAATGGCTGCATAATAACGGGCAAGGAACATGTATGTACTTTTTCTCTATTTTAAGCTATCTAGGTTAGATACTTTTGTCAGTGAGGAAACGGTCTGACTAAGGAATAGAAAAGAACAAGGGCCTGGGTCAGCGTGTGGAGAGCCTGAAAGAATAGCATCCTCCTTCAAGCACTGGCAGTCCTGGAGGCTTGGGAGCTGGGAATGGCAGGATGAAATAGAATGGCAGAACATTAGAACTGGACCATGTCCCTTTTATAAACTTTAGGTGTTTGCGTTTATCAGGGAGCTCCTGTAGAATGGATTTGGAAAATGGAGAAGAGAAAGAAAATTAGAGGCCTGAATACCAAGTAAGAGAAGGAGGATGGTCTATCTAACCACCATCCTTCCGTCTATCTCTCCACCCGCTTTTCCTTCCAGCCACAGCATCTGTTACCTTCATAGCTAACCTTCTTAAAAAGTGAATGTAACTAAACACACTGTATAGCACAGGGAACTCTACTTAATGCACTGTGGTGACCTAAATGGGAAGGAAATCCAAAACAGAGGGGACATACGTACATGTATAGCTGATTCGTTTTGCTGTACAGTAGAAACTAACACAACATTGTAAAGCAACGATACTCCAATAAAAATTAATAATAAAAAAAAGGGAATGTAGTGATTGTGTTCACATCCTCACTTCCTGCTTACTTTTCAACTCACTGTGATCTGACTTTCTCCTCTGTTCTTCCACCAACTGAAGAATAAGATACCTAGACCTCAGTCTAGCAGACCATTCTCACATCCCTCTTACCAGTCCTCTCAGCCACATTGGGCCCCCACTTGACCTTGGCCTCATGCCCGCACCCCGTCCCTTTCGATCCGACCTCTTGAGCTGCTCCGTCCCCTTTGCAGCTCCTCCCCAGCCTAAAAGTTTGCGTTTCACAAGAATGAGCCATGAGCTCTCATCTCTGACTTGCAGCCCTACTGGACTTTCAGAACCACAGCTTCAGTTTCTGAGAATGCGATGCCCACATTTACATCCCTGGGCTTCACCTGTGCTCTGACATGCCACCCCCGATGCAGCTTCCTACCCGGCGTCCCTCCTGGAACAGGATGGGCTCATTATGGCTGCTCTGTGACTCTCTTTCTCTTTTCCCTTTCCTCTAGCTCTCTGTTAGCACTTGTAGAGTTGGGCACTGTTGCACATCCTGAGTTGAATATAAACTCTTCTGTGTGATGAGGAAAACCACAGCGATTTGGTTGTTCAGCGTCAGACCCTCTTCTTGGGAAGCAGCGTCAAGTTGTCCTGGGCACTGGCTCTGCCCTGTTGACTGCTGGCCTGTACTCACCCATGAGGTGCAGACTCACTCCCTGCATCTGCATCTCAGGCTTTCGTTTTCTCATTATCCTGTCTCATTTTAAGAACTGACTTCAGTCCTTCTAATTCCTCCCTTGGCCTTGTGACCACACCATCACCGACCCTGCTGATCCATCTTTCTATTTTGCTAACTGTCTGGCTTACACCCACTGTTTTGCCCCATGGACCACAGCGAGCCCAGACGCTATCATCATGTTTTGGCCTGTTCTTAGTCCTGAGTCTCAGGGATACATTTGGTGTCCACTGTTCCCTCTGATCTGTTAGCAGGGTGGGGAGAGATGTTTCTCCTTCCCCAATAAAAATAGTTCAGATCGACAGGGCTTGTTGACTCTAAACAGTGAAGAGAGAAGGCAAGAGTTTGAACAGAAAAACTGGAGACCGGTTGGAGTGTGTGATGTTGTGGTTTATAATAAGAAATATATATATTTGGTCTTGGTCCCTGTTTCTGGCTCAGAGCTCCTAAAACCCTTGGAATTTCCCAAGTGAAGAGAGCTATAGAGTCATTTGTTAGGTTAATGAAGTGATTGTTGGACCACACGTACGGATGGGGGCTGGCTGCCAGGAAAACCATCCTTTTCAGTCCCACCCCCCTGACCTCCACAGAGGGGAGAGGGGCTGAAGATTGAGTTCAAACACCAGTGACCAATCAATCATGCCTATGTAATGAAGCCTCCGTAAAACCCCCAAAGGATGGGGTTTGGAGCACTTCCCGGCCGATGAACACAGGGACATTTGGTGAGAGTGGTACACCTAGAGAGCAAGGACTCTCTCTGCCCTTTCTCCACACCTTGCCTCATGCATCTCTAGCATCTGGCTGTTCCTGAGTTATATCCTTCTGTAACATACCAGTAATCTACTAGGTGAAAATTCCTCTGAGTTCTGTGAGCCATTCTAGCAAATTAATTAAACCCAAGGAGGGGGTTGTTGGAAACTTTAATTTCTAGCCAGTCGGTCAGAAGCTCAGGTGACAACCGGACTTGAGATTGGCATCTGAAGGTGGGGTGCGGGGCGTGTTACAGGCTTGTAGGATTGAGCCCAAATCTGTGGGATCTGATGCTCTCTCCAGTTCGTGTCAGAGTTGAGTTAAATAGGACACCCAGCTGCTGTCAGGGAATTGCTTGTTGGTGTGGAAACCCCCCCCCAACCCTGAAGCGCGCGCACGCGCACACACACACACACACACACACACACACACACACTGGAATTGGGTGCAGGATTGTTGGAGCTATTGAAATAGAACAGTTTTTATTTTTGAAGAGAATAGTGAATGTTTCATTATCTCAACAACTGGAGGCAGCAAGAGGGTGAATAATCAACAGCAGTGGTAAAGTACTGAACATCCAGGTCAGAGTCATGAGACTTGGGGGTGAGCCTCCCAGTCAGTATCCCTAACTATAGTATAATTTTTAAAAAGTTTCATCTGCCATGTCATAAATGTGTGTGAGATGAGCTGTTGCATAAAGTGCTTTGTGAACCTGAAAGTCTCTCACAAGTATAAGTTATTATTTAAGGGTATTAAAACAGTATTTTCAAGGAAATAGCTTTTCTTTCTCTATTGTTATTGCAAGAATGCAACATTTTTAGCCAGTTGTAACTAGATTAAATTGGTACTCTGTTTCACGTTAGGAATTTAACTATTTATTCTGTCTCTAAGCGAAATGCGTCCTAATCTTTAAGCTCCGAGAGGAAGTCTTGTGGGCTAGCAAAGGAAAAGGATTTTTAAGTATGGATGATTTGCATGCAGATAATTGAGAATTGACTATTTATAATTTTAGGAATTTCCAGGGGGGAAGAAGAAACTAACAGTGAAATTTGTATACAATTTAAATTCTCAGTCTTTACATATTTATTTTTAACTTTGTAATTTTCCCTTTGCAGAAACCCTGGATAGTGTGGATACCATTGTCAAGATCCCTCCACACTTGCTGAGGTAAGGAGGCTGGAGTTGTATAATATAGTGGAAGTAAAAATTGCCCGCTGTGCTCTCCTGAAGGGCCAGAAAACCTCACTGGTTTACAGCATTTTACTTGCTGACTGGTGGCTTTTTTGCATCAGCAAACTGGGATATTTCATGAGGTTAGCATGATGGGAAGCTGATTGCACTGATTTCTACCTGTCTTGGAGTGAGTGAAGTCAGTAATCCAAAGGAACCAGCTGTGGAAGTCAGGGATGAAAGGATAAAATTGGTCAAGGAGAGAAATGACCAAAATCTAAGTGAGGATGTGGACAGTGGACAGAATCTTCCACTGTGAGTTGGGAAATGGCGCCCCCTTAGTGGGAGAGCAGCCCTGTACCATGTGGGTTGGATTTAAGCTCTCACTGGCCCCTTGGTTGGACACCATCTCACAAACTTTATAGGCAGCAGCAGCAGCCCTGAAACAGTGAATCTATTTCCCCAATTCCTCAACTTCCCACTCCGCACCCCCGTCCACCATTGTGAGAGAAATACATGCTTTTTGTGGAAATTGGGAAAGAGCAAATAAGAAAGTTACCCATAATTACACCACCTAAGGATAACCACTGAACGTGGCTTAATAGATTTTCTTAATAGACTTTGCTCCCAGCACACATACAAATTAATATGAAGTTTTATTTACAAGTTTGTTTCCTGCTTGTTTTTTCGGTCAGCACCATATGAAGAACATTTTCTAATGTCAATATATGTTCTTCAAATTAGAATATTGCATATACGTCCATTGTATGGCTGCTGCAACATAAATTATTTCGCAGTTTTCTTATTGTTAGACATTTGGATCGTTTCCAGATTTTTCTTTGAGATTATTAAAAACAATCTTTTGTTGCATATAGTTTCTATATTGTCAGGACACTGATCTATTAGGTATGTTCTCTTTTCAAGTAGATTGAACAAGACTTATGTTTCTGTCTTTTTAAAAAATGTATTACTTCTCCTGTAGTGTCTGCTACAGGCTGATATATTGTAAGGTAATTCATATGTTAATCAAACCAAGTGTACTTTTGTGGGTATAAAACTTTTAAATGGGTAGAATGTCTGGCAGCAACAGTCTTGCCTGGAGGAGGTATATTCCAGCTGGGGTATCCATGTGAAAACACTCCAAGAGATACGAAGGCGTGGATGTTTTAATGGAGACGATTTCCCAATTTCTGTAGGTACCCTGTCTTAAAATTATTTGCTTCAGAACTGATTTTGCCACGTCTCCTTTTCCATTTCACTTCTTAACCTTCTCCTGACAAAGGACAGCTGTTACCCATCCTATCCCGAGTCTGACTGTGGTGTGTTTTCCTGGGGTGCAAAACCCTCTTCCTACCAACCGAAGGACTATGAAAATATTAGTGTCTGTGTTGATAAAGGGGATGAATACAGTGATCAGGGCACACATCTTTTTCAGGTTAGTTTTTACTTCTTGGCTTTCAACAAAATTGAAGGAGGACCTAATCTGGTTATGAGATAATAGACAAAAAGATTTTTTGATGATAAATCTCCTTCATTCCTTTCTTATATAAAAAACGTTTCTTATTTCTTACGTCTTTAAACCTGGGAAAAAAAGGTATGGAATTGATGTTAAACCCCACCTTATTTTAGCAATAGAGAATATTCATCTATAGATATATGAACTAGTTGAGAAAAATAAACAAGCCCTGTCCATTTCTTTAGAAATACATTTCCAATAAAATTGTAATTTCCATGTTAACTATGTTAACATTCTTATAATTATTAATGTTGTTTGGATCAGTCATTTGCATCAGAAGAAAATGGAACACTTTTAAGCCTTATAGCCACAGGAAATTTTTAAAAATCACTTTATACACATTTTTGTTACAGAGAAATATAATAGGGAGATTAATAAAATCAAGTGTTAAAGCATGTTATATCAAGAGAAAATTCTCTGGTTGGGGGTGGGGATAAAGTGGAAATACAAATTCCAGGAGACAAAAGAACAATACATCCTTTTTTACTCTAAAAGAAGAGTATGTTCACGTATTTTTTGTTGGATGAAGGTGGTTTTCAAATTGGTGTGGTGTTTGGATTTCATTAGGTACCTTGAAATGAGTGATATGTTTTAATTAAAATTTTACTAATTCCAATATGCCAGGATTACAGCCTTTGCCGTTAATTAAAATTATGGTTGAGAAATCTAAATGTCAACTTAAAATGTGTGAAAAATGGAATTTTAAAATTTTCTTAGTGGCTGTATGAGTGAAAACATTTGATGACACTGCTCTAAAGGTTGTTTCTCTATCCAAAGGGTTGTTGAAGCTACAGTGAGACTTTATGGTTTTGGGTCTCTGATAAGGTTTGCCTTCAGTGTTAGGGGCAAGAAGGTGATGATGATACCAGAAGAGGCTCCTGGTACAGTGCCTGGGAATGTTCATCAAAAGACAACTGGCATTTTCCAACTCTAGGTGTGCGTGTGACCAAATGAGTTGGAGAAAGTACAGTGTTCATGGGCTGTGTTTGATCCCGTTTAGCCACTGATCGTTACTTTTGTCCATGGTCTTGAGCTTTACCCCAGAGCCAGCTGGCCATCTTGTTCAACCATAGAAGGTCATGACAAAATTGGTGGGAAAGTTGCTGGATGAGGAACCGTGGCTGAATATGAATATGTGTGTGCGTGTGTGGTGTGTGTTTACATATCTTTATCATTATTAGCAATATGATTCAGAGTATTTGTCCGAATGATAAAAAGCTGGTGATGTCATCCTGTATACGGAGGAATGTGCGTCATTGTTTTCCAGGTGTGCGACAAAGTCCGTCAGGCATTCTTGTACAGAGAACTGAATGTATGGATGAGACATAGCAGACTTAAACCTTGCACCCAGTTTTATATTCCGAGGGAGGAGAATGAAGACAAATGTAGCTGGAAAACACTGTTAAAAGGCACCAAGTATAAATTTATTGTAGAATTTTATGCATATCAGGTTTCAGTCTGACTGTGATTTGTAATAGTTGAGAACCCTTCAAAGCCTTTTTTAGGGTTTAGGAATAAGCCATAATTAGAACAAAAACGAGCTATTGAATCAAGTCTGATTGTCTATTTCATTTGATATCAGGGAAGTGATATAATGAGAACATACACCATAGTGGACTTTCCTCCTCTGTTGTGAATCAGTTTTCCTTTAATCCTTTGATTCATCTTCCAGGCTTTTTTTTTTTTTTTTTAAGCGGTACGCGGGCCTCTCACTGCTGTGGCCTCTCCCGTTGCCGAGCACAGGCTCCGGACGCGCAGGCTCAGCGGCCATGGCTCACGGGCCCAGCCGCTCCGCGGCACGTGGAATCCTCCCGGACCGGGGCACGAACCTGTGTCCCCTGCGACTCTCAACCACTGCACCACCAGGGAAGCCCTCTTCCAGGCATTTTTAAGCCCACAGGGCACTTACTCTGTCCAGTATTATGTTTAACATGGCATCTTTCTATTGTTTGAGAACAATAAATCTAAAAAAAAAATTTTAATTTAGGCACTGTGAATATTTGCTTATAAGAAAGAACTTGGATATATTGAATTTTTTTTCTTCAGTTATATTTCTATTTTAATGAGTTTTTTCTTCAATGATATTTAGTATACGAGAAAGAAGCCAGGTTCATAAACTATTTCTTGGCATTCTGATTTTGTATTCAGATTGTTTCCATTTCTGTTACATAATCACGTAGAAGTGATTATTTGCAGGTTTTTTTATTGTTTCAGGTTTTGGAAAGAGTTATGAGGACTAAATCAAATCCCAAATACTTTTTAAAAATTAAAAAAAAAATTTTTTTAGTGGGAGGGAGGGAGACACAAGAGGGAAGAGATATGGGAACATATGTATATGTATAACTGATTCACTTTGTTATAAAGCAGAAACTAAAACACCATTGTAAAGCAATTATACTCCAATAAAGATGTTGAACAAATTTTTTAATTGATTTTTATTGGAGTATAGTTGATTCACAATGGTTAGTTTCTGCTGTACAGCAAAGTGATTCAGTTATACATATACATGTATCCACTCTTTTTAGATTCTTTTCCCATATAGGTCATTACAGAGTATTGAGTAGAGTTCCCTGGGCTATATAGTCGGTTCTTATTAGTTATCAATTTTATATATAGTAGTCTATATATGTCAATCCCAATCTCCCAATTTATCCTTCTCTTCCCCCTTTCCCCCTTAGTAACCATAAGTTTTTCTCTATATCTGTGACTCTATTTCTGTTTTGTAAATAAGTTCATTTATACCCTTTTTTTAGACTCCATAAGCAATATCATATGATATTTGTCTTTCTCTGTCTGGCTTAACTTCATTCAATATGCCAACCTCTAGGTCCATCCATGTCGCTGCAAATGGCATTATTTTGTTCTTTTTTATGGCTGAATAATATTCCATAGTATATATGTACCACATCTTCCTTATCCATTCATCTGTTGATGGACATTTAGGTTGCTTCCATGTCCTGGCTATTGTAAATAGTGCTGCAATGAACATTGGGGTGCAAGTATAATATCTTTTTGAATTATGTTTTTCTCCAGGTATATGCCCAGGAATGGGATTACAGGATCATATGGTAGCTCTATTTTTAGTTTTTTAAGGAACCTCCATACTGTTCTCCATAGTGGCTGTATCAATTTACATTCCCACCAACAGTGTAGGAGGGTTTCCTTTCTCCACACCCTCTCCAGAGTTTTACTAGTTGTAGATTTTTTGATGATGGCCATTCTGACCCGTGTGAGGTGATGATACCTCATTATAGTTTTGATTTGCATTTTTCTAATAATTAGTGACGTTGAGCATATTTTCATGTGTCTCTGGCCATCTGTGTGTCTTCTTTGGAGAAATGTCTGTTTAGATCTGCCCATTTTCTGATTGGATTGTCTTTTTTTTTTTTTTTTTGATATTGAGCTGCATGAGCTGTTTGCATATTTTGGAAATTAATCTCTTGTTGGTTGCTTTGTTTGCAAATATTTTCTCCCATTCTGG